TTTATGAAATGTTTCTGTACTTGTCTTGAATCTTGATGCAATGGTTATTATATAATATGTTTTCTAACAAAATAATATGTAGTATAGGTTACCTTATGAAATGTTTCTGTACTTGTCTTGAATCTTGATGCAATGGTTATTTCTACATATAATATGTTTTCTAACAAAGCACCAATAAATATTAAATTTGATTTTTATTTTCAATTAAATTGAAAAAAAATTCTAGAAATATCTAAAATCCGTGAACCAATTAAAATTCTATAGCACGGTGCTATAATATAAGGGTAATTAAACTTTATAACACGATGGATACTTTACAGCACGTCCTTAATAAAATAAGTATTAATGATAAAGTACACACTAGTTTTAAAAAGTATTAAGTATACTTTTTAATCAAATAATTTATAATGGTTATTCAGTTAAAAATGGTTCTAAATTTTACTTGTTTTTAGTTTTGGGAAACCTGCCTTGTTTACTGGGTGGAGCTGGAGGTTTGGCGGATATCTATGATTCTCCGGTAGCAAGGAAGGGGGCAGGGTTGCCTGAGCTAGCAAGGGGTCCACAAACCTTCCCTGAATTTGTTCCTTTGCACTCTGGCAATGTGACGACGGCTCTAGGGAAGACAGCATTGTTGAACTGTAGAGTTAGGAACGTGAATAACAAAACGGTAATTATCATTTATCTTTTTTTCTTGGCTTAATGGGATTGTATCTTATGCAAATCTGACAATGCCCGATTAACAACAGTACCCTTAAATGCTATGTCTGATCAAGTTAGATATCAATGTTTGAAATTTCAATTTTGGTGTGTAGGAATTATCAAAACTAAACACTTGAAAACCTGTAAAAACGACAATATCTTCCACATTATTGATCAGATAAAAGGGCATTGTCATCTTTGAATGGAGGGTCCCTTTACGCTTAAATCCAAGAACAAGATTCGTTACCCCCCCCCCCCCATCCTCCCGCATTCTTATCTTTGAACATTGAAGCATAATTTTCATAGCACTCCTGTATTCCGGTACATTAGCGCTTGATTCAACCAGGGTTCAATCATGCGTTTGTTGTCTATTCTGAACCAATAGAAATAAAATGGCGGTAACATCTATCTTTCTATCTATCTCATTATCCAATCAGAGATATGAATCCTTTAATCGGCGCTATTATCAGTAAATGGACATATTTACTGCTACTGAAAAAATAGTAATAGTGACAAAAAAAAAACTATTTGGTTTCATACAATTTCTGTGCCGAGCGCTGCGACCGCTGATTTTGTTTAGAATGCCACAGCCCTATAGAAAAGGCTTAGAGACTGAGGTTATACTATATATATGTTATAATCCTTCATCAAAGGATCTTTTTCTTAGAACTGTTCTTATTCTTATTTTATTTATTATGATGGACCATAACCAATTATTTTTATATTTTTATATATTATGATGGACCATAACCAATTATTTTTATATTTTATATATTATGATGGACCATAACCAATTATTTTTATATTTTATATATTAAGATGGACTATAAGCAATTATTTTTATATTTTATATATTATGATGGACCATAACCAATTATTTTTATATTTTATATATTATGATGGACCATAACCAACTATTTTTATATTTTATATATTATGATGGACNATTGAACTGTACAGCTTGCTCTCGCTCGTCACAAGTCAGCCCGGTACTGGAAATGAACCAGAGTTTACAGTGTGCTAAATATTACTGCACAAAAAGATTCAAGTTTACAGTTGAAGGAAAACCAAAAGAGAAGCAGAAAGAAACTAAAAAACTTCCGCGTAGTCGTTTCTGATTTTCCCGCCAAAAGATTTTGTAATTTCTAATTGTTACAAAATTCGTTGCGGCATTTCTAATGAAAAAAAAGAGCGAAGACGACAATTAGTTGAATTGGTTTATACTGATTACCACTGTATTTTCCAATTTTCAATGGAATGGTGATACAAAGAAATTGAGTCCTTGACGCATATTCAAATTTCCTAATCCTTATATCTTTGCAACACAAATAACCAATTATTTTTATATTTTATATATTAAGATGGACTATAACCAATTATTTTTATATTTTATATATTAAGATGGACTATAACCAACTATTTTTATATTTATTTTTATTATGAGAAAATGTTGATTGTTATTTGTACTCGCGAAAAGAATTGATGATTTCTTCAACAGATTAATTGGAGATGTTTTCAGATGAAAATATTTTTTGTAAATAAACAATAAAACATTAAATACTCCCTGCCCTCCCCTCCTGAGACCCTTGTTTTCCTCTAATCTACGCTGTCCTCTCCCTATAAAATCCAAGCTTATCTAACAAAATAAACGCACCCCCCCCATCCCCGACCATTCTCGATCCCCTCCCTTCCTATTCCAATTGACTGAGCTCCCTCATCCTTCTCCTTCCCATTAAAAGAGCTCCATCACCCTTCTCCTTACCATAAATAGAGCTTCTCACCCTTCTCCTTCCCATAGATAGAGCTCCTCACCATTCTCCTTCCCATAGACTGAGCTTCCTCACCCTTCTCCTTCCCATAGATAGAGCTCCTCACCCTTCTTCTGCCCATAAATAGAGCTCCCTGACCCCTCTCCTTCCCATAAATAGGCTCCCTCACCCTTCTCCTTCCTATGCATCAAGCTCCTCACCCTTCTCCTTCCCATAGATAGAGCTCCTCACCCTTCTCCTTCCCATAGATAGAGCTCCTCACCCTTCTTCTTCCCATAGATAGAGCTCCTCACCCTTCTTCTTCCCATAAATAGAGCTTCCTCACCCATCTCCTTCCCATAGACTGAGCTCCCTCACCCTTCTTCCCACACCAACCTTCTGCTGTTTTCCTGAGGGTTAACTCTCATATCTTCTGGGTTGTTACCGCCCCGGGAATAATTTATGGGGGTTGTAGGATTATAACTCCCCCTTATCTTCCTCCTCTCTAGAATATGGGGGATATTACCCCCCCCCCCTCACCCCCAGGAACTGTCCCCAATACCACGACTTTATTTACATTACAATATTGTTGAATTCTCTTGAATTCTTGCTCTAGCCCTGTACCATTCCTGAAATACTGGTTTTCTGTCAGAATTATCTAATTTACAATTATACACGTTCATTACTAATAAACAGAATAGTTTGAGCACCAAATATCGACCGTTCAACATTTATCAACAAAGGAACTTAACACATGCAATAGTTCTAATTTTCTAATAATCCCTATATCGTTACTAACTGAAGGAGTAAACCGTTGACATTTAAAACTATGAATTCTGCTAAACCAAATGGTTTTTGAAAAGTGTTTAGTTCCTTTATGTAAGAACTATTTCTAACGTTTCGTATTTTAGTACAAGGAGAGTGTTTTCTGCCTTAAGAACATATCAAAAAGATTTTTTTTTTAAATGGATTTAAAAATGAGTAAAATTCGACTGAAAATAAAAATCTTAAGTATAAAATGGCGACATTTTCGTATTCTCTATCCTCAAGAATCGAATTTCTTTTCGCAAGCGGGTCCTTTTACACCTTAAAGTTAAATTTAACTTTTAGTAAAAAACCCTTTTTATCTAAACTGTTTTATCCATTAAGTTTTTGTTAAACATTAATCTTTGACAAGAGTAAGGGTTTACTTCTCCTTGAGTACACTTTACAAGACATTAGGCAGTTCAGACAATTTAGGCAGTCAAGGCAGTCCAGGCATTCCAGGCTGTCCAAGCCTAAATCAATGTTCCCCATTTACTCTCAATCAATCAACTTCTACTTACAGAGTTATTGTTTATTTTATTTTTCTCATAATTTGGGCAAGTTTGTGATTTATTTTAATTTTCTCAAATTATCAATTAATTAATTTTGCTTTTTTTGGAATTATTATAATAATTTATGGCTCTACGCTCCCAGATTAACATATTTACATTTTACAACGGAAATCCTATGTTTATCTAAAAATATCAATAAATATAAATATCTCTTTTGTGATTTTACCCTTTTTTGTTTCTGAAGGTATAACACATCTTTTTAACAAAACTAGTTTTGGGAAACCAGCTTTGCGGAACGTTTTCCCTTTACAAATCTATAAAGTTTTTCAATCAAAATTGGAGGCAAATCAGATGAGGGGTTCATGTGTTCTGATAGGAGATCCAAATAGTAATATAGAGATTGCTACGAAGACAGTATAAGAGATCCACATGCAAACCGGAAAAGGTTAAACCAAATTGATTATCAAGTACAATAGATGGCAAAGTAGAATTTGTACAATCTCAGTACAGCTGTATTCTTACGTCACAAGTGTTAACATTGATTTATGTCAGACAAAAGTATTGCTAATTGTGATAAGAAAGTACTTATCTTTCAGTGAAATAAGTATAATTTTGTGTTCTTTCTTTTCTATTTTTACACTTTTTTAAATCTTGGAAAACATATCAACTAATGGGAGAAAATGTTGTCTTCCTTGTTTTATTTGGCACTTGTGACGTCATCTATAAATAGTCCATTTCTCTGTTGCCAACCTGGTGTACTTTATATTCTTGTTTTATTTAACACTTGTGATGTCGTCTATAAATGGTCCATTTCTCTGTTGCCATCTATTGTACTCTTGATAATCTTTTTGGTCAAAAGTGCATCATCAAACTATTATAAACATTTTCGGAATATGTTCCGTCGCTTTGATCATCAGCACCGGAAATAAGTTTTGTGACACTATTCGGAAATCATAAAAACTCACAACTGTCAGCAACTATTTTTTCCCATTTTATTACCTCCAATTTAGCTGAAATGATAGCTCCAAATATTAGATAGATAACTCTGCTTCAATTTCTACAGTTGCTGGAATAAATCATTTTCTTTTTCACCCTATTTAAATATCTTTTTTAAAACTGAATAAAAAGAATTCAGTTGACTGTTTATTGTATATATACTGCAGAATTTGTGACTAGGTTTTAGAATAGAGATTTTTATCGATACACTTTAAGAAACAACTGTCACGTCTCGATAGCTGTTTAAGACAAAACAAAAATTATGCATCTTTTACAGTTCTCATTAATTCTAATTAAATCTAATGACTTTATAAATAAAATTTAAATAAAATATCGTTTATCGGACAGGAATAAATGATATTTTATTTATTACCTTCCCCCCTAGAAAAAGTCCTTAGAGTATAGTCATAGTAAACATAGGTGGTGGGGGTGGGGGGGGGGGAAGGATCCATTCAATTTTAATGAATTATCTTTTTTTGTTAAAATGCACACATCTTTTTTAAATCTTGAAACTTTTCTATTTTTCATATTTTGAGATTTAGAATTCTTCTAATTGACATGTTGTCGGGATAAGCATCTTTGCAATTGTCTCTAAGCTGAGAGGGAAAAAATGAAATCTCTTTATGTCCTCTCTCTACCCCCCCCCCCCCTCTGCTGCTGTGGGATTATGTAACTAAATGTTTAATTAAGCTAAACGGTTGTGAAGATAATTAAGAGTATAGTTAGTTTGCCATACTTTCCGGTTTCACCTTAAGTTCAAATGTTTGTTTAAATTAACACTTTGATTTTTATATTGGAAATTTTTATTGGGATTTATTTGCTTACCTACTCTTTCGCAAGAAGTCTGGATTCCCCGCAAGCCTGACAATACAATTTTATTATCTGGTCATAAATATAATTAATCCTGATGTAAATAAGCTTTTATTTTAGATAGATCGAAACTTTGTGTTGTTAATTGTTAATTGCCAAAAAAAACTTTTGTTATAGTCGCTAGACAGTCAAACCGATAAAAAGCATAACAAATTTGATCTCGGAAATTCGAACTTAATTGCTTTAAACTAAAAGTTTCCACTCCACGTTGATCTTGAGTTTAGGCGGTTAAATATTACAAAAGTTCCAACCTGAGTTTTAATTTCTATTTAGTATTTATGTCTAAATAATAGAGCAAGAAATTTAAGAGTTTTTAATATTCTAAAAAAGGTCTCTCTCGATCTTAATGAGACTGTAACAAATGTTGTACTGTGGTCTACACTAAAGGTAAACAAGGAGAAGCTGTTAATTCATAGCTTCTCTTTGTTTCCATGTTTATGTGTATCCTGATGGTTGACATATTGGTAGTATTCAAATCAAAAATTGAAATAAAAAGTCGTCTTTATTGTATTGATATATACGACGACGGCTGTATGCAGCTTTTATGTTTACAATCCCTTTAAGAAAATCCTGATTTACTACATATTATCAAGTTCTGATCCCGGGATGGGATGCATGGATTAGAACGGATTTTCCAAAACTTAAACTTAATAATGGCAGGATCATATTGCCAAGTCAATGATATTGTTGATCAAGAAACTTTTTTTCATATTAGAAAATATAATTAGAAGTGTGTGATTTCTTATATTAAGAAGAGCTTTCTGATAATTAACAGAGCTTTCTAGTAATTAGGAAGGATTTCGAATAATTTGGAGAGATTTCTGATAATCCAGGAGAGATTTCTGACAGTTAGGAGATATTTCTGATAATCCAGGAGAGTTTTCTGATAGTTAGGAGATATTTCTAATAATCCAGGAGAGTTTTCTGATAGTTAGGAGATATTTCTGATAATCCAGGAGAGTTTTCTGATAGTTAGGAGATATTTCTGATAATCCAGGAGAGTTTTCTGATAGTTAGGAGATATTTCTGATAATCCAGGAGAGTTTTCTGTTAGGAGATATTTCTGATCGTAAGAAGAGCTTTTTAGATAATTATTAAAGCTTTCTGGTAATTATGAGAGCTTTTAAATAATTGGAAGAGCTTTCAGATTATTAAAGGAGCTTTCAAAACATAAAAAGCACTTACTGGTAATTTGGAGGGCTTTACGATTAGAAGGAAAGTTTTCAGACTATTGGGAGATCTTTCAGATGATTAAAAGACCTTTCATATAATTGGGAGATATTTAAGATAATAATGATATTAGAAGATTTCTGATATAGGAGAGAATTCTGAAATAGGAGAGCTTTCAGATTATTTAAAGAGCTTTTCGATATTTAGAAGAGCTTTCCGATAATAAGAAGAGCTTTCAGATAATTAGGAGAGCTTTCCGATGATTAGGGAAACTGTTAGAGATAATTTAAGAAAATTAGAAAAGTTAGAGATAAAAATTGATATGAAATATTTATCTACGTCTTGATAGTTTTGCAAAAAGAGGCGATACGACTCAATTAGTTGTGTAGTTCAACTTGAACCATGAGAGAGTTAAAAATGTACGATAGCTTTATTGCCGGAGAAGCTATCCAAAAATATAATATAAATCATTAAAAAGCAGAGTCATAAAAAGTTTATGAAGACAAAAACAAAACAAGAAACTTTGCAAATACTCTCCTAAGTAACTTTGTAAACTCTGAAACTAATCCAATTTGTTCGATCAAAAAACCTGAACATTTTTGCTTTGTAAGTTTTTCTTTTTTCATTTTTATGATTTAAATTAAGTTTGAATTTACAAGTAATGCAATACTTTGCAATGTTTTATAATAAACACACGAGCAAAACTGCAAACTCAGTTTATTCTTCTTGAGATTTCAAACATGAAACACTTTAAAGTTAAAATAGGCTCTAAAACAGTTTGAGTTGAATAGTTTATAGTGGTTTAGAGTTCAATACCTCTACACAACCATGTGTTACTAGAGCAGGGTGGAACTACAGGGTTACCCATAAATAATCCGACTTTAACAACAACCTTAATATTTTAGATTTAATTATTTGAGAATTTTTGTTTTCTTCTGTAAATAGTTTATGATATGCTCACATACGTTTCATTATGCGTACTATCCCAGTTTGCCTTACATGGTTTGAAATTGAACTGTACAGCTTGCTCTCGCTCGTCACAAGTCAGCCCGGTACTGGAAATGAACCAGAGTTTACAGTGTGCTAAATATTACTGCACAAAAAGATTCAAGTTTACAGTTGAAGGAAAACCAAAAGAGAAGCAGAAAGAAACTAAAAAACTTCCGCGTAGTCGTTTCTGATTTTCCCGCCAAAAGATTTTGTAATTTCTAATTGTTACAAAATTCGTTGCGGCATTTCTAATGAAAAAAAAGAGCGAAGACGACAATTAGTTGAATTGGTTTATACTGATTACCACTGTATTTTCCAATTTTCAATGGAATGGTGATACAAAGAAATTGAGTCCTTGACGCATATTCAAATTTCCTAATCCTTATATCTTTGCAACACAATGTTATAGACTTTAGATATTTCAAACTATGAATTCTGTGTGGTAAAATAATCTGGGGTTGAAAAATCAGAGATTTAACAAACAGGTTGGAAAGATAAAGAAATTAAAAACTCGTTAAGTTAGAAAAAATTTTAAAAACTTAAAAATAATTGTACTGCGGATAAAACTACCAAGAATTTCGCACTAAATGGCGTGCTGCAAGTTGCAACTCTGCAAGAAAAAGTGCAGAGATAAGAAAGTTTCAATTCTTTGTGAAATCTCATCTTTTCATGCAAATCAAAGAAATCTAATTTTTCCATTTTATTTTGCACATGTTACATTTTTCATTTTTTCTCATGTTACATTTATATAAATATAAAACAGTAAATAAACTCTAAATACAATGCGGAGTAAGATTAAATTAAGATAAAATGTACTTTTCAGGTTTCTTGGATCCGTCATAGAGATATTCTTCTGCTCGCTATAGGAAGGTTAGTAGAGAGGATACAGGGATACAGAGATACAGGGATACAGGGATACAGGGATACAGATATACAGGGATACAAGGATACAGGGATACAGGGATACAGGGATACAGGGATACAGGAATACAAGGATACAGAGATACAGGGATACAGGGATACAAGGATACAGGGATACAAGGATTCAGGGATACAGAGATACAGGGATATAGGGATACAGGGATACAGGGATACAGGGATACAAGGATACAAGGATACAAGGACACAAGGATACAGGGATACAGGGATACAGGGATACAGGGATACAGGGATAAGGCATACAGGGATACAGGGATGCAGGGGATACAGGGATACAGGGATAAAGGGCTACAAGGAATACAGGGGATACAGGGATACAGGACTACGAACTACCATGCAGTAGAGATACAGGGATACAGAAATACCATAGAACAGGAATGCAAGGATACAGGGTACAGAAATACCATGGAACAGGAATACATGGATACAGGGATAGAGAATTATACCATGGAACAGGAATACGGGGATACAGGGATACAGAAAAACTATTGAACAGGAATGGAGGAATACAGGGATACAGGAATACCATGGGACAGTTATACAAGGTTATCACACTGAACCAGAATCCACTTATCAATAAACTATTAAAAATAATGTAGAATGATAGTATATGCAGTATGCACAGTTTCGTGTATATCAAGATATTGGAGAAATGATTTATTATAAACATTAACAAATTTTACATTTATTTCTGAAGGTGAAATTTTCTAGAAATGTAGAGGAAAAAACGAAAACGTTGTAAGACATATTCCGGAGAGGTAATTTCCTACCGGTGTGACATTTTCGGACAAACAGCATTCAGTATTTTCTTAAACGTCCGCCCCCCTCTTCTGCTTATTATTTTGCCAAAGAAATGCAGGGTTTAATCTATTGTTAGATTAAGTATGGTTTAATGAAACCATTGTGGCTGAAAACTAATCCTATCTGCAAAATGATAATATTTGGATGAATCAGATTTGAAGGATTTGGCAACAAAAAGAGATTATTTTTCAGCAAAGTATCATAAAAGTATTATTTTCTCATAATTTAAGAAAATGCAGCGTAATTCTATTATATTGTTTATTTTATGGCCCCTAAAAGTATAAAACCATTTGGAAATCATTGAAAGTTGTCCAACCATGTATATTTCACGTTGAACTAAAGTAAATTGTATGTAGGATTGAAATCTTACATTTTTCAATCATAATTCCTCTTATTGAAAAGTTATTCAATAGTTAGCTTGGATTAAAATAAAATTGGAGCAAAATGTTTCTCAGATTAGCGGGTTCTTGGACCAAATTCACGAAGAGAAAAGTTGATTAATAAATTTTTCTTAAATACTGCGCTCTTAGACTTCTCTGCCGGTCACGCCCTTTAAACCTTCGTCTGAGCTAAAATTATGGAGATGTTGATTTCTGATTTTTACTAAAATATGGGTTTAAAAAGCAGCCTTATGAATCAGGCATTAACTCCTTAAATGGCGAGTCAGCAGTCCCTTATTTGATTTAATCAAAACAGGTGTATGGTCCATATACTTCCAATAATTGAACAGGTGTATGGTCCATATACTTCCAATAATTGAACAGGTGTATGGTCCATATACTTCCAATAATTGAACAGGTGTATGGTCCATATATTTCCAATAATTGAACAACCCTTTTTAATCCATTTCTATGCAGGTACACCTACACCTCAGACTACAGGTTCAAGGCAATACATAAACTCATGTCAGAGGACTATCTTCTCCAGATTCGACCTGTCCAGGTTAGTTTAGTAGGGAATAAGGATGAATAAGGATTGATTGGATAAGGATGACTAAGGATGGACAGGGTTGGACAAGGTTGGATAGGGATAGATAAGGAATGGATATATAAGAATGAATTGTTATGTATGAGAAAGGTTGGTTAAGGTTGGATAAGGATGGATAAGGTTGGATAAGGTTGGATAAGGTTGTATAAGGTTGTATAAGGTTGGATAAGGTTGGATAAGGTTGGATAAGGATGATTAACGCTGGATAAGGTGGGTAAGGATGTACAATGTGCATGGTTGGAAATGGTTAGAAAAAGCGGGTTAAAGCTGGATAAGGTTGGTAAAGTTTAGATAATATTAAATTAAATTGAATAATATTTAGATAAGGTTGGATAAGGTTGGTAAAGTTTAGATAATATTAAATTAAGTTGAATAATATTTAGATAAGGTTGGATAAGGTTGGTAAAGTTTAGATAATATTTAATTAGGTTGAATAATATTTAGATAAGGTTGGATAAGGTTGGTAAAGTTTAGATAACATCAAAATAGGTTGAATAGTATTTAGATAAGGTTGGATAAGGTTGGTAAAGTTTAGGTACTATTATTTAGATAAGGTTGGATAAGGTTGGTAAAGTTTAGGTACTATTAAATTAGGTTGAATAAGATTTAGATGAGGTTGGATAAGGTTGGTCAAGTTTAGATAATATTAAATTAGGTTGAATAAGGTTTAGATAAGGTTGGATAAGGTTGGAAAAGGTTATATAAAAGGTTGGATAAGGTTGGAAAAGATTAGATAAGAATGGCTCAGGTTGTTTAAGGTTAGATAAGAAAGGCTAAGGTCAAGAAAAGGTTAGATAAGGTTGATTAAGCTAAGAAAAAATGGTTTAATCTGAATAGGCAAAGTTGTGTCTCCTTATCGATGGGGTTGGATTTTTTGGTTTAGAATTTGAACAGTTATGGCTTTAATAAATTGGTTGCCAAGTTGTATGAGATTTTACTATGTGTGTTTCTTTTTGGTTATTTTTATGATTCTCTAAATAAATAAATGTGAAAAACAAAAATATGAATAAAAAGCCCATGAAATGGTAAAAAGGCTAGCCTGGTAAAATTATTGTATGTATAGATTTATATTATTGTATAATGGTTGCCAGCATGTTCTTGACTGCATAGTACAAGATATTAAGTACATGAATTGTTCTAAAATAATGAAACATATTTATGTATTCTCCTTATTCAAGCTGTAAATAGATATTGGTTGGCAATATATCAAACATAATATATAATATATATATATATACTCATCAGATATCCGATATACTGGATATTACAGATAATGGACAAATGGAAGGGTTTCGTTTTTTCATTGCATGAATTATTAATGATTATATTCATTCTTCGATACTCCAAGAAAACAAGGTTTAAAGGAAATATCTTTATTTTTTAAAGGTTCCTAGGTGCAGAGCTTCCCAACTATTTAACGGGACTAAATACGGGACAAAAAGTGGCTTTTCCAATTTGGACCGACATCGTAAAACAAATTAAATAATTTGGAAGATTTATCTAGCTTTAAAAGGGTTTAATTCTGACAATATTCATCTTTTATCAGCTATAGGTCACTTTTGAAGAGAAACCACAGCGGAAAATAATCAATTTTCTAAATTTTAAAAACTTTGGTACCCAGTGAATCGGACATGCCACTCTATAAATGGAGGGTCACTTGAAGTTACGTCTTTAGCCTTTTAACTTGCTTAACTTCCAAGAATAGCCTTTTCACCTATGTATTAATACAGATATCAACCAAATGTTTTGGAATACAAAATACAACTGTCAGATATATCTAAGAACTCTTCAGCGATATAAAATATATTTTATCAAAACAAAAAATAATAATCAAGAATACTGGAATATATTTTAGGTTCGGTGCTGACAGAGTTTTTCAACTCTCAAATTACATTTTATCGCAAAAACTGAACAATATATGATTTAATAAAAAAATCAAATTTGTTTCAAAAGTCATGAACGCTACCTTTATATGCCGAAATTATTAGATCAGAGCCGGCGATTTAAAAAATTCAAAAAAATACGACTCAGGTCTAAGCTGTCGTCTGACCTTATTTACGGCTTGAGCTGTCTGATTCAATCTGCATTTTTTCCACAGAGTTAAGTCCATAAAACCGGTTTAATATTCTTTTTGGCGGATTTTCATGGTAGGAATTGGCGCATTCTGTTTTCTTATGAGAACAAGATTCAACATTCATTGGGCCTAACTCCTAAGTCAAGCCTAAGATCTCGCGGCTGTCAATCACGTGACACAACATGCAGTCAGGGTTGAATCTAAAATTGGGTCTTAAAGCTGGGTTTAAGGAATTACGACTTGAGCTCAGAATAGTGTATTCTTTTGCCAGTTTCGCCCTTTACGAGCCTTGAGTAAATAAGAGACAGTAAGGAAGAGAAGAAGAAATATCAAATTTAACTCAAGGATTAACTTCACTTTAATGAGACAACAAGCATAATTTACATTGACCCTTCCTGCAAAGATGGCAATGCCTGATTTACAACGGTACCTTTGGAAGCTTTGTTTGATCAAGTATGAATTAGATTTCAATGTGTTTGTTCCTTTAAAATATTTATTTTCATTATTGGTTTCTATGACTTCAGCATTTCTTGTTTATAATAAGATGCAATGCAGACACACTCAAAGAGATAAACACCTTTCTTGTTAGAAATACTACGGAATCTTTCACATTTTTTTTATCAGATTAAGGTTTCAAGAATACAGTTGTAAATCGGGCATTGCCATCTTTCCATGGAGGGTCACTTAAAATTACTCTTACAGTCCCTTTAACAGTTTTTAAAAACTTTAACGAACAATTTCAAAGTTCAAGAAAAACATTTTTTTATTTTTAAGATGGATGATGCGGGTTTGTATGAATGTCAGGTTAGCTCTACTCCTCCTCTATCCCACCATATCTATCTATCTGTAGCTGAACCCTACACGGAGATAGTGGGTGGACCTGAGATATACCTGGATGAAGGAAGCATGATGAATATAACCTGCCTAGTCAAGGATAGTCCTGAACCTCCAAACTATATATTCTGGTATCATAACGATAAGGTAAGGAGAGGTTATGGAGTCCGTAACTGTTAAATGAGTATATTTCGTTGTAGTGCATGCGGCGGACTCCCCCTAAAGATTTAACCATTTCAACACAATGTTAGACATTTAAAGCAATGTTAAACATTAAAAATTATTAGTTGACATATATTAAATACAAATCTAGTTCTTAAATGTGTTCTAAAGGGAGTTAAGGCAAAAAAAGTTATTTCCTCTTTAATGTCGTCTTCTTTTCAAATTATCAAACTATTAATATTTACTTGAGACATAGATAATTTTTAATGATTTTTTTCAATCAAAATACATTCATAAATATCGGAAAATGTCATAACATTGTGTTGAAATAAATAAACCTTTAGGGGGAGTTCGCANTCTCCTATATTTAGTCCCTGACCTATGATTTAATCTCCTATATTTAGTCCCTGACCTATGATTTAATCTCCTATATTTAGTCCCTGACCTATGATTTAATCTCCTATATTTAGTCCCTGACCTATGATTTAATCTCCTATATTTAGTCCCTGACCTATGATTTAATCTCCTATATTTAGTCCCTGACCTATGATTTAATCTCCTATATTTAGTCCCTGACCTATGATTTAATCTCCTATATTTAGTCCCTGACCTATGATTTAATCTCCTATATTTAGTCCCTGACCTATGATTTAATCTCCTATATTTAGTCCCTGACCTATGATTTAATCTCCTATATTTAGTCCCTGACCTATGATTTAATCTCCTATATTTAGTCCCTGACCTATGATTTAATCTCCTATATTTAGTCCCTGACCTATGATTTAATCTCCTATATTTAGTCCCTGACCTATGATTTAATCTCCTATATTTAGTCCCTGACCTATGATTCTCCTCGTGGTGGAGTAAGCCAGATAACTGAGAAAGGAGATATAACAGTATCCTACCTACTGGTCCAGTCTGCTCGGCTCAGTGATACTGGAACCTATACCTGCCAACCCTCGGTAGGACTTCCAGCTGTAACAAACCTTCACGTTATCAGAGGTAATAATATAATTAATTTTTATATCACTCTTCTTTACTTTTCAAAGAGTTCAGCTCGTTGTGAGTCTTCAATTATAAAAAGGCATGTCCAATTTACAACAGTAACCCAGCCTTTATCTGATCAATAATGTGGAAGTTTTGCTGGTTTAGAAATGAAAAGTGTTTAATATTTCAAAGTTCCTCGATTTTTTTCTGGAGCAGAAAACCATGCAAGTCTCTTTTATAAAGTACCAACAAACGAAAATAATCAATTTTTAAAGTTCATATCATAGTTATCTTATTCAATCTAGATTGTACAAAGCTTTAAGGATGTTCCATTTTATTAGGGTAGTCCCGGCCTTTTAGAGGATAAATGATAAAATTTCAAATAACAATAATTTTAAAGTAAAATCTTCTGTGTGTTATACTGTGACTTTGTGTGCCTGTGCCTGTGCTGTGAACTTTTTAATTTTACAGGGTTTACACTTAAATAATTACATAATTACATAATTACCTAATTATTAATATAATATTTGTCAGGTAAAGACCCTGAAAAATGGCTGACCAACTCTGCAAACGGAACTCAGTACTTTACCTATTTTCTTCTTCTTACTTACGTACTTCTTGTACTTCTTGTCTCCAGATCTTAAACCGGTTTTCTTGTATTTGTAAACAACAATTGTTATATTTATAATAATCATTAAAATGTTGCACCTTTTGTATCAGAATATAGATTTAAGCACACTTGTTGTAAACCATTGTTCGTAACAAAGGTTTGAATTGTTTAAACCGTATATATCAAATGCAATCATATTTTTTCATTAGATCTCTTAACTGAAGTGTTATACAGGTTTTATATGTTTTATTTAATACATCTGTTCTGAGCATCAGATATAATCTTTTCAAAATAGACCTTGCAAATTTGGCAAGAAAGCTGTTTTCTTTACATAAATATGAAATTAGAATAATACTTCTATTTTGGTTCCTCTCCTACCCCTAGCATTATTTTGGTAATTCTCCCTTTAACCCAAGTAAAAATCTAGATAGAAAACGTTAAATAGAAAAAATTAATGATCGGAATTTATTTATTTATTTATTTATTTTAAAATTGCATTTTTGATCCAAGCTTGATTGAACTTTTTGATAATTTTCCATTAATAAACCAGTTTTCAACGAGAACCAGATTAAAATGATAAAATTTTAATTGTTAATTCTAATTAAAAAGTGCATTTTTAACTTTCTTCGTAAAAACGTATGAAGTATTTTTTAATTGTTTTTATCAACATTATTTTCTACTAATATTATTTATAATTTTAATCATACTTTAAACTACTTTAACATCTCAAACATTCGGCACAAATTGGGAATTGTTTAATCCCGATATTTAAATCATAAATAATCCTTGATTTTTTATTTCAAAACTGAAAACTATGTTTTTTACATAATTAATTTAATTTATTAATTATGAAGACCAAACATGCTCCAGTTTGCATTAAATCAAATTAAGCAGATTTTAACTCAATTTTTTTTTCGAAATTACCAGAAGGAAAAGTGACTTATATTCCTTTGGTAAAAATATTAATAATTTGATTTGTTAGACTATTTATGACAAAGGATATTAGGAAATTGTTTATTTTTAGATTTCATACTTTGTTTTCGGTATTTTTTAGTAAAATCTTTATTAAATACAGGGTTGCTTTCAATGGATGAGACTAAAACGACGACCTATAACGTATTAAAAATAACGATATTAAGGTAAAATTTGGTAATTTTCATTAAATATATTCTTTAAACTTTTAGCTTAATAATTTTGCAAAAAAAATCCAAGTTCAAGTTGAAGGAAACAAAGAGTAAATAAAATTGTGCAAAAACGATCCAAGTTCAAGTTGAAGGAAACAAAGAGTAAAAAAAAATTGTGCAAAAATTGCGTACAGTCGTCTTTGAAGTATCATCCTATGTGGGTAACTCTGTCTAAAGAGACAAATCTATTTTTGAAATTAATAAAAATTTAAGATTAAAAAAGATGAATATGTTTATGGTTTAGGTATTAATTTTAAGAAAAAAGTCTGCAAAATGAATTTCGTTACTATAAAAAGAAGGATCTATGAAATAAAAGTGGTTTATTTGGATAAACCAAAGAATTTCCTAATATTTAGGACATTCCCGAAGCGGGATCTTTTATTTAAGGAAAATCTTTGGTGGTAGTCAGTATACTCTAGACACTAAATATTTATCTAGATATTGGATACTATACACTACAGTGGTAGTCAGATAACAGTAAAACGAAAGTCGTCTTCTTTACAATCATGAATAAAGACGACTAGAATATCACTGTTTTCTGATTACCACTGTATGCATCCCTGTTTCTGTTGTTAACATATAATCATCTAACCTATCAAATTGTACTATATTCAGTAAATGTATAAATGTTAATATGTAAACTATTTTGAAATAAAATCAACCTTTTTTAATTTTCGGAGATTAATTTCTTTCAAATAAAGAAAAGCATCGGTTCTTACTCGAAAAAATGCATAAATGAAATTGATTATAGGTTTTGAGCATTATAATTTCAAGTCCGTTTAAAAATAGAATTTAAAAAGCGTTATTAAGGTTGTACTTTAACAGTTGATAATAGTAGAGAAGAACTATTATGCGCAAACAAATTAAAAATGGTTTAAATAAGAAAAATAATTTACAATGTATCGTACAATATATAAAAGCACTCGTCTCGACTAACAGGTCACATTATAAATGTTTTCTTTTGTCTATCCACCCCCCCTCCATACATAATAAAAGCTGATTGGTTTCTGTCTCAATGAAAAGTTTGTTTTTACACAAACAAGACGTCAGCAAAGTTTTAAAACACTGTTGACTCAGTTTAAGGATAAAGGATGATGGTTTATACACTAGAATTCAGAGATGGGCAAACGTTCAGAGCTGAAAACTCTAGAATTATGGATATCAAGATCAATGCTTAATCTTCTCTTTTAGTTAATCCACTAAAGTATTTAATTTAACTCAACCGACCGAGTGGCATTTGGAGAAACCGGAACAGCCAATCAAAGAAGTCGGGAAATTTGAAATTTTGCGCGCCATTTAATGAAGTGAACTCTCATTGGTCGGAAACTGGCAGAGAGTGAAAAAGTGAGAAGAATGGCGGATTCAGCATGGGCAATATAAAATGTCCACGTTGGATATTTAAATTAAGCAACGTGATTAAAAGTATCTAATTATATATTCCAGCTCAGTTCACAAACAAAAGCTTCTGGTGAAGGAATTGAGTATTTGACATAAACTTAAATTTTTTTCTTCACTTATCGTTGCAACCTGATGGTGTTAACCTTTGATATTTCAAGCTTAGATTTTTTAAAAGAACTCATAGTTTGAAATATATACGGTATTACCAACAGGTTGCAAAGATATAGGTATGAAACAATTCGAATTTGTGGCGAATATTCAGTTCTGTTCAGATTTTAAACTTTGAGTTAGTGGCAAAGACTCTATTCATCAGAACGAAAAATTCTGTTTACGAACGGAAGGAACTTATGAAGAACAACTTAAACTAAAATATTTCTTTTTGGAGATTCGGACAAATAAGTTTTAAAGATAGTATGATTTATGAAGGCTGAGCACAATACCGTTAACGAAGGGAGAGCACAATACCGTTAACGAAAGGAGAACACAATGCCGTTAACGAACGGAGAGAATCGTTAAGTTTTTAGTTTAAACCAAATGGTCACTTGATCAAAGTGATAAAAATATTGCCGGCTCTCACGGAAAAATTTGCCGCAAATTTAGCCAATTATTTCTTAAAAACTAACTCTAAAGGTTTGGCTTCATATTTTAATGATTTACATGCTTTCGGTGTGTATTTCAGTGATCTGCAGCAGTACATGAACAGAAGATCTGCAGTACATGAACAGAAGATCTGCAGTACATGAACCGAAGATCTGCAGTACATGAACCGAAGAAATTTTGGCCAAAGCGTTACATTTCGTTCGCTCGCGAAAAATGCGAAAATTTCGCGAAAAAAATCGGAATTAAAAATAATGCAACATTTTTGCGAAAATTCATCGAAAAAAGACAAAATACAGCTTCGTTAAAATTTTTTTAATATTTTTGCGGCATTTTTTATTTGCGAAATTTTGCTTCGTTTTAGCATTTTTCGCTTCATTCATTTTTTTGCGAAAAAGTTGGGAAAAACGAACGAACATTTTAGCATTTTTTCGCGAAGCATTTCATTCGCTGCAAATCCTAATCGGTACGGAAAGACTAGAACAGCATGCCTTTTACTGATTCGAATCATGAAGGTTTGAAACTAATATGATGGATCAACGCTAATTAGAATAAACAGTGTATTAAAAATGTATTTGATGGTTACAAAGCATTTTTAGTTTTACTCGTAGCTAAAAAATCTCTGGGTTTGGGCATAGTGCACACTACACATGTTCTGTGTTTCAAGTTCGTTCAATAGATTATTTAAAATCCTTGAGTTTAAAAATAGTTTGTAATCCACCGTTTTCTGGTTCTCACTGTATGAATGGGTTGATTCGAATTATAAATGTGAATTGCTGTTTTACAGGCGAATAGATAAAACTATGGTTGCAGCTATAAATTTCCTGCATTTTAATCTGTAAAAAATAGGTTAGAAAGAAAGCTGATTAACTATAGATCTGGTAAAATATAGTTTTTATACATTAGCTACGCAATGAGCTTTAAAGGAAGGTTAGAAAGATAGCTGCTAAAATAAATTTTTTATGCAATAGCTACTCTATAAGCTTTAAAGGAAGGTTAGAAAGATAGCTGCTAAAATATAGCTTTTATGCAATAGCTACTCTATAAGCTTTAAAGGAAGGTTAGAAAGATTGCTGCTAACAGCTAAAATATAGCTTTAATACATTAGTGTGGTATCTGGGAACCACAAAAACGTGCATTGAACTGGTATCTAAAATCTACACTTAATAGGATTTATACAAGTACTTAGACCTGTTTATATCTATCATGTGTGTAACCTGTTGACATTGCAGAACGGGTTAGTCCTATTCCGCGGGCCTAACTCCTCATGCGCTGTCATATATATATTTGTAACCTGGCATTACCATACTTCAGCTATCTCCATATATCGAGATAGCTTTATATGTTTAAATGCACGTACATAAATAACACCCTAGTAATAAAATCATTCACATGTATATGGACAACCTGTCCCTGACCTCCATCATTGTTGGGTCAGGGTGCAGCCTGTATTCCTGCTCTATAGCCTTCCCTGTGTCCCATACATTAACGTTAGGGACAACAGTAGGCTGCTGTGAGGTAGTGTCCCTAAGGGACATTATACTCCCTAGCTCCTGGTCCAATCCTTGTAAGCCCTGGGTCACTTCTCTATTAAGCTCCACTAGCTCTTCAAGGACATCCTGCATTATCTTGGGCAGATCTTCCTCATCATGGTCTTCATCTCCATCCTCTACAACCTCCTCAGCTACATCTTCATCCTCTGAAGCAGGAACAGTGACAATTGGAGTGTTCCCACTTATAAGAGGAGCAAGGTCTGCTGGATCAACATCTTCTCCTTCATCCGGTTCTAGTTCCTCAACATAAGCAGGGTTCCACACTATGACTGGAACGCGGTTCATCGTCTTCTTCTTCTCTCTCGTTCAGAAAGGTTCTCTCTGTAAGCTGTCTGTGCACTGTATGTAGCACAGGTCCCTGGACGGCTATGTGCAGTGTGACTTGTGTCTACGCTGCAGCGGTCCGGGATGTACTGATCCATCTGGCTTCCTGTTGGATTCAAGGGACTGTTCACTCATATATCAAACAATCCGGAATACAACATTAGCTATTTTACAAGTTTTAAATGAAGGTTAGAAAGATTGCTGCTAACAGTTAAAATATAGTTTTAATACATTAGATACTTTACACACTTTAAAGGAAGGTTAGAAAAATAGCTGCTAACAGCTAAAATATAGCTTTAATACAATAGCTACTCTATAAGCTTTAAAGGAAGGTTAGAAAGATAGCTGCTAAAATAAAGTTTTTATGCAATAGCTACTCTATAAGCTTTAAAGGAAGGTTAGAAAGATTGCTGCTAACAGCTAAAATATAGCTTTAATACAATAGCTACTCTATAAGCTTTAAAGGAAGGTTAGAAAGATAGCTGCTAAAATAAAGTTTTTATGCAATAGCTACTCTATAAGCTTTAAAGGAAGGTTAGAAAAATAGCTCCTAACAGCTAAAATATAGCTTTAATACATTAGCTACTCTATACGCTTTAAAGGAAGGTTAGAAAGATAGCTGCTAAAATAAAGTTTTTATGCAATAGCTACTCTTTAAGCTTTAAAGAAAGGTTAGAAAAATAGATGCTGAACTATAGAGTTTTAAACATTAGGTATTCTACTAGCTTTAAAGGAAGGTTAGAAAAATAGCTGCTGAACTATAGTTGCCCAGACGAAGTTTAATTGAAATCCAAATCAGCAAATATTTAAGTTTGAAATGTTTAAATATTTTATTAGTTTGTTATAAACCGGGAAAGTCTTAATCAAAGAACTGATAATTTGGAAAATTTATACTAGATTGTTTACAAAATAGTGCCGTCGTGTGTACTTAATTGTATATAAACATTCTTTAAATTCGGTCTTTTGACTCAGGAGTCGACCGGTGGTTATCGCCATGCTTTTCCTGGTAATTGCCAAGTTTTATTCTAGTTTGATGGCATTGTCGTAGTAATTTTAAGTAACAAGTTTATTTGATAAAAAAATGGAAGTTTTTCTTCTAGCTAAAAAAGTGTTAAATGATTTTATGCTCTTTGGACTTTTTTGAATTATAACTTAATTCTAAAAGTTTTTTTCCTATTTCAGATTTGTCTGGATATCACTGTATATATTTGCTACCTGATGATATAAATGTTTTTTAACATTTGAACCAAAATCTAAATATTTTGAGACAGCCTGTTCTACATATTTGAAGATTCTAATCAGAATTCTGCTAAATTATTCCTATTCATACAAACATGGAATAAATAACATCCAAACCAAACCAAACCAAACCAAAATACCTTTAAAATTAATACACTTTCTAAATTTCAGTTGGGGGGAGGGAGGGGGGCGGAGGGGTTTAAAAATTATATTTTTAATGTGCATAAAGTATAAAAATGCATAAAGAAGGGAATCTCAGTTTACAACTAATTGAATTTCACTCATTTATACACAAGGCAATGTCTTGGTTTGAAAGTCTGAGAGCTTTCATTTTCGAGCCCACTTTCACTTACTTAATATAGCTCTTTACTTTCTTTTTTACTTAGACTTTAACTCCCTGATACATTTTCCACAAAAACTGTTGAATATGATTTCTGGATGATATAAAAGCAATATTTAAATGTATGAACGTATCTGAATAACTATGTATTTTTTACAGACAGATTATTGCATTCATGCACTATAAAAACCAAATAAAAAATGCAAATTCTTTTTTACGA